CTGACAATGACTCCCCTCCACTGTTAGTGACTACAATGATCTACAGTCCCTCCAACAAGGTTAGTTTCTTGGTTTTCATACATTGTAATGTATTGATTGGTTATTGGAGATGTGATTTTTAGTTTTCCTATTGTACTTTGTGTTTTGTTTCTTGTATGTGTCATTGGTTATGTTTGTCTTTTTCTTTATGGTTTTTATATTAGATAATTTTTTACTATGAAATTTGGCATTTTATTTTTGATTAAATTTTTAAAATATTTGTAGTATGATATGATAGTTAAGCAATAAGTGTGAAACTTAGATCCCGTTTGAGATTTAGCATAAATGATTAAACTTTTAATCTTTTTGTATAAATCTCGAATTGTCCGATCGGACAATTTGGAAAAATTATTTTTCATAATTTACTAGAACGCGTATGTTGAATTTTATGGATTCATTTGATAAAAATTTTGGTTGTAATCAATTTGTATTGTTTTTTGGATGCATACTTGATTGTGGTCATGAGTGATAGCTTTCATTTTGTGTATTTTGGAGACCAATGCGAAATGCTGCTGAAAATTTATCAAATTTATGATGCTAAACTTCTTTGTATATGTGTTAACAAATTATGAAAAATATTTTTTTTGAATGTGTAGGGCCTAACCTTATGAGAGTTAAAAATTTGAGGTTGATGAAGTTTCTTATGAACATACTATGGATTGAAGATGAATGAATGAAAACCATATTAGTGAAGTATGAAAAAGGAGGTTTATGAGTTCTTGCAATATGTTCAAGAACATGCAAACTCTGTGAATGAGACATATTTTTGTCTTTGTGTTCGTTGTCTTAAACAGATACATCAGAACTTGTGCAACTTGCACGATCATCTATTAATCTATTGTATAATGAGGAGTTATATAGTTTGGACTTAGCATGGAGAAGTACTGCACAAGCCTACAATGTCACGAGGAACAAATTATGTGGACGAATGGATGAGTGATCATTTAGAGGACACAAAACGTGATGTCGATGAAGAAAATTTTGGATGAGCTCATTTATATCATTCTCTTAAGAATGATTGAGAGAGAAAGAATTGTATCCAAGATACTCTAACTTTACACGTTTTTCAGCAACTTTGAAATCGTTCAGTTTAACAGCAAAAATTGGATGGGACGATAAAAGTTTAACAAAATTATTGGAGTTGCTAAAGAAGATATTTCCAGAAAATAACACGTTACTTATCCGTAATTACAAGGCGAAGACAATTCTATATCCAATAGGTTTGGAATACTTGAAATACATGCATGGCCCCAATGATTGTGTATTGTACAAAAACGAGTTTGCTTCACTAAAGGCAACATGTGGTTTATCATGGTTTAAAAAGAAAGTTAATGAAAATAGTGGTGATGAACACAAAGGTGGTCCACCTACTAAGTACTTGCCTATAATACTTTGGTTGAAACAATTATTTTCCATCAAAGAATATGCAAAGAACATAAAATGACACATTGATGGAAGAAAGTGTGATAATCTTTTTCGACACTTGGCTGATTCCCAACAATGAAAGAATATTGATGAAGTATTTCCAGAATTTGGTATAGAACCAAGAAATTTAAGACTTGGACTTGCTACAGATGGTATGAATCTTTATGAGAACTTAAGTCATAGTTCATGGTCAGTTTTGTTGATGATTTACAATCTATCTCCTTTGTTATGCATGAAGAGAAAATATGTGATGTTGTCTATGATGATATTGAGTTCTAGATAACCTAGAAATGACATTGATGTGTACTTGAAGTCACTATTTGATGATTTAACCAATAGTAGTTCCTAAGAGTAGACATGAAGGTAAATGTGAAGGTAATGGTGTTCTAGAAGTGAAGATTAAAAGTATTAGTGGAAAAGAAGTTGAGTAAGTTGATTTGTACATCTTAAACAACAGTGTCAATGTGATTCCATACATGTTTCAACATATTGATGAAATAAAATATGAACACCCACGAATGAGTGAAAAATGGACACTTAAGGAACATAACAAAATTTTCTTATCGTGGTTTAAGAAGAAGGTTTATGTAATCAATATACTTTAATCTTTCATATTGGTGTAAACTTGATGTACGACATTCTATAGACGTGATGCACATTGAAACAAATGTATGGGATAATGTCATTGAGAATTTACTAAACGTAAAAGGAAAGACAAAAGATGGAGTAAAAGGATGACAAAATTTGGTTGACATAGGCATCCGTTTTGAGTTACATTCACAATCAGTTGGAAGACGCACCTACCTACCCCTAGCCTGTCACACTCTTTCTAAATATGAATTTTTTTTGTAAGTGTTTAAGCAGTGTTAAGGTTCCACAAGATTAATCTTCAAATATTAGTAGCCTTGTTTCTATGCAAGATTTAAAGTTAATTGGCTCTCACGATGGTCATGTCTTGATGCAACAACTTTTACCAGTAGCTATTCTATCCATATTACCTACTTCTGTTAGAGGTATTCCCACACGTTTGAGTATGTTTTTTTAATTCCATTTGTAAGAAAGTATTTGACCCTCAGGTGTTAGATGATTTGGAAAATGAGGCATTCAGACTATTGTGCCAATTGGAAATGTATTTTCCACCCTTAGTTTTTAATATCATGGTTCATTTGATAGTTCATCTAGTAAGGGAAATTTGATTATGCGCACTAGTTTTCTTGTGATGGATGTACCCAGTTGAGAGATACATGAAGATCTTAAAGGGATATGTCAAAAATCAGTATCGATCGAAAGCTTCAATTATAGAGAAATACATTGCAGATGAAGCCATTGAATTCTACTCAAGTTATATGCCCAGTTGTTAACCTATAGTAGTTTCTAAGAGTAGACATGAAGGTAAATGTGAAGGTAATGATGTTCTAGAAGTGAAGATTAAAAGTATTAGTGGAAAAGAAGTTGAGTAAGTTGATTTATACATCTTAAACAACAATGTCAATGTGATTCCATACATGTTTCAACATATTGATGAAATAAAATATGAACACCCACGGATGAGTGAAAAATGGACACTTAAGGAACATAACAAAACTTTCTTATCGTGGTTTAAGAAAAAGGTTTATGTGATTCCAAATATTTCTGAAAGTCTATTGAGGCTAGTTAATGGGTCGAATACCGATGTGGTCACATACGACACATACTCATGGGTCAAAATATGAAGATGACAAAAGTAGAGTTCAAAATAGTGGGGTTACCCTACAAGCTGATTGTTGACACTTTGCCAGTTCTATGGACAAAAATCCAATTACATCATCCATGAGTTAGTTTGGAATAATACAAGAAATATAGGAAATTGACTATGTCAGTCTTAGAATACCAATTTTCAAGTGTAAATGGATTGATAACAATTTAGGTGTGGTGACATATGATATCGGTCCACTTTGGTAGACCTTAACAATGGTTCATGGAACGCCTCCAACAACAACAACAAATATAAAGAGCACTTGAATAAAAGCTTTAGTCCATGACCTAATAGAACATTGATTTCTTCACTACAACTTCAACAGGACATCGTGTGAGCACAAAAGGGTCATGCTCTACTGTAGATCATATTGACTACACTTGTTAGTATGAACTATTCGTTGATGGAGATCTCTCGTGAGTAGTAGTCATAAGACGATAACTTGAAGGAAGGAAAATTATTTATGGTGCTCCTCTATTGCCCCACTACGCGCGTGACCTAATATAACATTGGTTTCTCCACTGAAACTTCAATAGGACATCGTGTGAGCAAAAAAGGGTCATGCTCTACTGTAGATAATACTGACTACACTTGTCAGTATGAGTTATTCGTTGATGGAGATCTCCCGTGAGTAGTGGTCTCAGGATGATAATTTAAGGAGGGCTGTAGAAAAAGTTTAGCCAATATTCTCAACTAAGAGAGGGGGGGGGGGTGAATTGGTTTTCCCCTTTAAAAAATTGTGCTTTAAAAACCTTTTTGAAATCTTTGAAATTTTCCTAGAATGCAATCAATGAAGAACAAAGACAATGTAAGAGTGTAGGGAAAGAGAGTGACAAACTTCTTCGTTTTATGGTTAATAGACCAATAATAAGATTTAGAGGGAACTTAAAAAATTCACTTTCACTCCAAAACAAAATTAATCGACTTCAACAAGTCCAAAATTTTCAAAACCAGAAAAAGCTCATAACAGTGAAAATTAATCGATTTTATTAAAAACATAGTCGACTTAGTGTTTAATAGAGTGTTACGTAAAATAGAGAAACACACACATAGAACATATTTGACTCCATTCATAACATAATCGATTAACAGTCGTGTAATCAGATTTTCATACAATCCAGTCAATCATACAGACAATCAACAGACATGCATACAACAATCATTGATATCAACATTTATGATGCATGAATGTATGAAAATAATTGCTACGGTTACCACATTTTAGATACTCTAGAACATAAGATTTCTTCACTATAGTTGATCCTTGAGTTCTGCACTGCTTCAACTGCATCTACTTCCCTGCAAAACAATTGAATGGTTTTGACACTAATACCCACATAAACTTGGGTCCTTTCTTGTCAGTTGCAGGAGGCTGTTCCTTAGAAATCCATTTGTATTTTCCTTTGGGAACTCCAACCTTTCTATAATAGCAATTTCTTACATTGTAACCGATTGTATTGCAATAAAAACATGCATTAGTAAAAGGCTTACTCAGATCAATAAATTTCTTGGAATTAATCCTATTACTTTTTACTTTATAGCCAATGTCTTGCCTATTAATTGCTTTACCGGATGATCTTAACACAACATCCAAATTTTCTTTTCCTTGATTAAATTTAGCTAGAGTGCTGGTTAAGTAATTAATTTTCTCAATGTGCACAGGACAATTATCACACTTCTTTTCAACCATTTGTATTTCTGTTTTAACTGTCTTTGCAGATTTCAAAGCAATTTCTAACTCATTTTTCAATTTATCATTTTCCTCTACAAGATTATCAATGATGTAATCATAGTCATTTCTTTAAGAGGATAATCGATTCTCCTTATATTGGAGTCGTATGGCTTCTACATGAATTTCTTGAAAAGCATCCAGCAGTATGTGATACTTCACCTCGATAGGCTCATTTTCAAAATCATCATCGTTGTCATCATTAGAATTTGTAGACCCTGCCATGAAACATAAATTTGATTCCTCTTCCACACTGCAATGATCATCGCTTGAAGAATCACCATCACTGTTTTCCCAGGCTATATATGCTTTTCTTTGCTTTCTGTTTTTGTCCTGAGGGTACTTTGTGATTGCTTTCTGCCTGTTCTTCAAGTTTGGACAGTCATGCTTGATGTGACCTTCTTTTCCACATTCATAGCACTGTACAGTGTTGTTTCTTGAACTCTTTCTTCCTCTTGAAGGACCTGCATTGTCAGTAGCTGAATTTCTATTTTTCATGAACTTATTAAATTTTCTTACCACCATGTTGATGATCTCTTTTTCTGATACTTGTGCATCTGATTCAATTTCAGATTCAGCCTTCTTGGAGGACTTCTTGCTTGTGGGTTTGAGGGTAATTGATTTCTTCTCCTCAATTTCTTCTTCCTTTCTTAGCCTTCCAAGTTCTAGTTCATGCTCCCTAAGCTTGCCACAAAGAGTTTCCATATTCATGTTAGTTAAATCTCTAGATTCTGATATGGCTGTTACCTTTGGCTGCCAGCTCCTATTGAGACTCTTCAGGATTTTGATATTGATCTCCTCTTTATCAAACACTTTGCTAAGAGCCATCAAGTGATTTACTATATGAGTGAATCTTTTCTGCACTTCGTAGATAGTCTCACCAGCCTTCATCCTGAATAGTTCATATTGTTGCACAAGGGAGTTTTTCCTGGCACGCTTTACCTCATATGTGCCTTCATGTGTCACCTCAAGAACTTCCAACATTTCTTTGGCAATCTTGAATTGGGAAATCCTGAAAAATTCATCCATGGTCAGTGCAGAGGCAATAACATTTCTAGCTTTAACATCATATTTAGCTCTACGGTTCTCATCCCAAGTCCACTTTGAAAAGTTTTTCAAAATAACTTTTCCATGGATAATTTGAGTGGGCTCATATGGACCGTTAAGAGTGGCATCCCATACTCCTTTATCCACGGATTCAAGAAAAATCTGGATCCTCATTTTACAAAAAGCATACTTCTTACCACCAAAGGTTTGAGAAGTGAAAGCCATTTCTCAGGATCGAATTGATTAATCGGAAATAGTAATTGATTTGTTTTTCAAATATTTTATGAAAATCAGCTCTGGTGCCAATTGTTAAAATAGAATGACTTAGTTTCTCACACCAAGAGGGGAACGGGGAGGGAGGTTGCATTGGTGAAGTGTAAAAAATATAATCTTTCGAAAAATATTTCACAAAATAAGATCTTTTACACTTTTCTTGAATCGCAAGTTAAAAGATATGCAATGCAGCAGTAAACTTAATCGAATATACTAATAACGTAATCGACATAAAAAAAGAGTGTAGGGATCAGAAAATTCAAACGTTTATTTTTATACTGGTTCGGCCAAGCCTACATCCAATATCCTTCTGATGAACGAATTTTTGATCCTTGGCAACGACGCCAAAAACTTGTTAACCCTCGGCAAGTGTAACCGAATCGTATCAAGTAATAAAACTGGTAAGACCAAGTATCGTTCTCCCAAAGGACTCACGACCTAGACAATTATGTGATTTATTGATTATCTAAGACTTGTAGAACCAATTCTTGTAAGTTTTAAATGCAAAATACTGTAAAGTAAATATGAATGCATGTATTGATCAATGGGCAAGAAGAAACAGAACACGTGGTTTGAAATATATGAATGAATATGTTGTTGGGGTTGATCAATTTCATCCTATCCACTCTCATGTAATCAAGAATTCATCTTTCTTTATTAATTGTTAAGCCACTTTCTAAATTACCTTAAACCCGATGTCTCGACGAAGAAAGCCTAATCATAATCACTAGTTTACAATGTCTTGTCTCCCTAGCAATTACTCATGCATTACACAACACAGAAGCTTAAAGGCAACCAACCATCATACTCCTATGTCTAGGTTTATACTACTATTGGGAGAGATTCCCCAGATCTAGATTTCCCCGTATGTGTCCATATCGACAAAATCAATAATCATGACATCGAATGAGTTAAACAATGCATGCTTTGAGCAAAGAGGAAAAACCCTAACAATTAATGAAAGAAAGCATGTATCTTAAAAAAGATCTTGAAGAACAAATTCAATACATGAGAGTTTCAAAGGATTATATTGATTCCCCAACAACAATAAATGTTTAGTTCACCATATTCATGGTGAAACTAGATGAAATACGATGAAAGAGTGAAAGATAAAACCCTAGAAAGGTGAGAAAGGAGCTGTAGCATCCAAAATCCTCTTCCAAGGGGTGAAAGAGTGTGTTTCTGCTTCGTTCCAGCCAAAGATAACTGACCTAGGTTAACTAAAACCTTATATAGTATTCTAAAAATTACAGAAAAGTAAGCCCAAGCTTATAAGAATGCCGCTCAGCGGTAAATACCACTCAACGGTAAGGGCGTGACTGCTATTATGCCCCTCAGCGGTGACTGCGGGTCTTCAAAGTGCCGCTCAGCGGTAAATGGTGCTGAGCGGTACTTGCGGCTTCTTCCTTTTATGCACTTTTTCTTCCTTTTCTGAATCCAACTCTTAGCTCCTTCACTTCTTTCACTGATGGAAGAATGAATTGGCTGATTCGGGTGGAGGAACAAATCAACCAAGCTCACCTCTGACTTGGACCATAGAAGCACCCAGCAATGGAAGAGGTGCTTCGACAATGCAGCAGAATGGGTTGAAGATGACTGGAGGAAACAGAAAAGTGTGGAAGCCACTCTGAAGATGTGTTCGGTGGTTGGATTGGAGAAGATGTAATGACTTGGTGATGAAGATAAGGTTGAAGTAAAAGGAAAGTTGAATGAAACAATGGTTCGGTGAAGGAGAAACTGAAGCACAATTTCAAACGGTGGTGTTCTGTGAATTGGGAAGTGAAATGCAAAGATTTGGGTCCTGAAATGTGATGCGGATGGGTGGAGATATGCTAGTAATGGAGCCTAGCTAGGGAGAGAGGCTAGAGGAAACTCTCAAGCTCTCTCTCGGTGACCTTCAATAAGAAGAAAGTTCTGGACATCATCAACAGAAAACAATTCTCCATTCAAATCAAAGGTGTCGGTTACAAGCAATGGAGCAAGGTATTTAAAGGAGAAACAAAGCTCCTGGTTCACGCCTACACTTAGCTACATTAGCTATGATGCATGGAAGCAAGTGATAGCTGTGCAAGGGTGAATAAACGTGAAGCTCCACATGGACAATAAGCAATCAACTTGGTGAAGAAACGTGAATGGCTACTTGGGAAACAAGCTAGCAGCACGTGGACAACAAGTTTGGTGCAGTTTCAGCCACTGAGCACAAACTCCATTCCACTGGCGCTAGGCTTCTTTCTTCTTCAACAAAGCTTCTAGAATATGGCTCACATTGGGCTTCCTAGAGTAGCTTGCTAGACAATTGTATAATGCATCCAAGTGAATATTTAATCTTGATTCTCCATTCTTGATGTTTCCTTTCTTCTTGATTTATCAAGCTTCTTGGCTAGTTGATTCATGATCTCCTAGCTTTATTAGACCCTACAAAACACATATAAACATATTAAAGAGAATTCTACTAAGACTTAGAGAAAGAAAATTAAGAAAGAGTCTTTAACAATCCTTATTCACTTCCCTTTCTTAGCCTTAGCTTAAGTTGATACTCCTTTGAATGGAATCCCACCAAAAGAGTCTTTATTATATTTTTCTTATTTCGTTTAAACCAACCACAAAACGTCGAATTCTTTGTGGTTTTCGACGTTTTATTTGACAATAATTATTCTTTTTAATTTTTCTTCTAAACCAACCCCTAAAACGTCCAATTACTGTGGCGGCTTCGACGTTTTATTACAAAGGGTTACTCCATTACACGTCGTACTCCTTTGGGGCTTTGACGTTTTATTGACTAGTTGATGGAATCCGACCTAACCTACCTTCCTTAGTGTTCTCTTTTTTGCAATTTTACATTTTATTGTACACGCATTTTAGCTTTCTTGGAGCATGGGTTACTATAAATACCCATCTCCACCAATGTATTTTTTAACTTTTGAGATTAATGACAATTGAATTTTCTGAATCAGAAGTTATACTCTCTTGAAAGTCAGGCTAGAGAGTCCAAAGACTTCCTCTAGCCATCTTCGAAGCACACTTGATAACGGTTGAAAATACTGATATCTGTGATGTAATTTTGATACTAAATGCACCTTTTTCTGCTTAGAAACTTGCTTGGAATCATGTTTTTCTATTAAGTTGGGTGAATAAGAGAGTTGAGGTTGAAATTGATGCTTTTATGACTAATTCCCTTTGTTTTGATAAAAAAATGAGTTAATATGGAAAGCAGGGATAAAGTTGATGCACAAATTTATGATCACCAAAATATGATGTCACAAACTTGTTTAACAATCGGCAAGTATGATCGAATCGTTTCAAGTAATAAACTCGGTAAGACCAAGTATCGTTCTCCCAAAGGACTCACGGCCTAGTTTAGTTATGTGATTTGTTGATTAGCTAAGATTTAAGAACAAAATAAGTGGAGTTTAATATGCAAAAGACGAAAATAAACATGTATGCATGAGGTTGATCAATGGCTAAAACAAAAGACAAGCACTTTCAATGAAATATATTGATGAATATGTTGTTGGGGGTCAATTTCATCTTATCCACTCTCATATATTTTAGGAATTCAACATTCAAGTCATCATTGTTAATGCCACTCTCTAAATTACCTTTCAAGAAGGCTTCTCCCTAATTACGAGTTCATACGATTCCAAGCATCTCTTATCTTCACCATCCTTCCCCTTACTTTCCCTTATCTCCAATCTCATCCTGCTTGCATGAATGAGTTAAACAAGCAGCATTGAGCAAAGAAAAAACCCTAACTATGATGAAAGAAAGCATAAGTCTTAGATAAGATGCAAGCACAATTCCATATATGAGAGCTTCAAAAGATTACATTGATTCCCCACAATACACAGGTTTAGTTCACCATATTCCATGGTGAACCTAGATGAAACATAACGAAGAATGAAGAGATAGAAAAACCCGAAAAGAAGAGGAAGCTGTCCCCCATCTCCCATCTAACCCCAAAGGGTGGAAGAGAGAGTGTTTGCTTCGTTTCTTTTTTGCCAAAGTACCTAACCCTAGAACCCTAGCTTATATATTATTCGTAAATTACGAAATTAGGTCAAAGCCATAAAGTGCGCTCGTAAGACGCTCAGCGGTAAGTACCGCTCACGGTAAAGTGACCGCTCAGCGGTAAAGTACCGCTCAGCGGTAATTGTGTGAGTCGTTTCTTCCCTCACGGCCATTTTTGCCCCTCAGCGGACCTCCCGTGACTTCCTGAGTGGCCGCTCACAGGGCGGTAAACTGCCGCTGAGGCGGTGACTTCGCTTCGTCTTCTTCCTTTTTTGGCACTTTTTGATTCTTTTCTTATTTC